TTCACTGATTACAACGTGATTCACCTGCAATCAAAGGTTCCGATAGGAAGGCAGCAGGGGAAGAAGGGGGGTATGGCAGAGGAGCTGCTTTCAAGCCTTTGGAAAATATATCCAATTCAACTTCTGTGTTTGTTTGAGAGTGAGTGTGTGAGTGAGAGAGGGATACAATTTCTCTGTGTGCATGTGTCTGTTTGAGAGAGGGTGGAGGGAGAAGAAAAAAATGGGAAAACTTATTTTGCAAGGGGGGAAAATGCTGTTGCTTTAAATCGGAACTGAGCATGCCTGGCTGTGGAATTCTGGGAGTTGAAGTCCACAAGTCTAAAAAGTGCCTCACCAGCCATAAAGCTGACCGCACATCACTGCCTGCGAGAGTGTAGCAACCGAGTTTGGCAGTCTAAAATAAATGTCTAGGCAGCTGAAAAATGAGCAATGAATTAATTTATTCATTACCTCTTACCTCTTTTTGTTTTTTGCCTCTAGCCACCCCATTTAATAAGTTATTTTCTTTAAGCGAATCCACCGTGTCTCCATACAAAAGTTTGATCGCCCGGACAAGGCGTGCGCACGAACGGCTGTGGTGGAGGTAGCAGTGAGGGTGGCAGTAATCAATATGGGTGCAAATGAAACTTTGCTGGTTGCACAGCAGGATCATCACCTGGAAACACAAAGTATGAACGTTTGTAGAATTGCAGTCTTGTCTTTGTGCCAAGAGAAGATTAGGTGAACATCCTTTTTTAGAAACCATAGACAGAAAAATCTTTGAAATATTTTCAAACTATTTGTATCCATCTCCATCTTCTTTAATTTGATGTTTCACTAACTCTGGCAATTAGCTCATGAATGAGAGATTTAGCAAATATCTCACACTCTTTGATCTTAATACTTAAACAAATTTATTCAGTTGATCAAGGGAATGTTCCAGGGCAAAGTGACATCAAAAGATAACCTTTTCCTTTATCCCAAAGGCCATGATAGAGTTTGAGTATTTATCATTGCTGCCACTTAGACTTGCCAAGTTTAAGCACAGGAATTTCTCCCTGCCAGCTGGCTATACCAAATTTCATTTCTGGGAAATAAAAATATTCTCTACTTACATGTAGCCATGTCATATTCCGGTGATAGTTGTCTTCTGTCCCAGTGCTGCTGAGAACTTCAGGTTCTATACTGGGTTCACTTGCACTCCAAGGACTTCCTTCTTAAAAATAAAACACACACACACACGTCCAAAAGTAGTTGTCTTCTGATGCTAACTCCGTATTCTGAATCTAATATATATGCTTGTAAACCAGACCAGGGTTTTTGAAACCAATTTATTTTATTCCCCTTATATTTTTTAGAGAGAACGGAATCATACGCCAGAAGCATACAATTCCTAAGAGGCCAAGCCCTTCAGGAAGGAATGTGAGTTAAAAAAAAAAATCACCTCCAACCTTTCTTCATGTCCCAATTATTAGCTAGATTGATCATTACAAGCATAATTTATAGTCACCATGGAAATGACCACTAATCAGGGATAAACGTTGTTCCCTTTTCTGGAAGAGGGGAGGGAGAGTAAGTAAAAAAATAAAATAAATTCTTGCATAATCATGCTGCTGCCAATTGTTGGTTTCAGTGATCTGCATTGACTGGGCTCCATGTTAAAGAAAGATAATACACCTATTCCTGCGACGACAGCAATTTGTTAAAATTACCGCCTGGTTAGATCCCATCAAGGGGTTATAAGGGAAGAAAGAGAAAAATCCTAACGGACATTTGAGAACAAAGGCAGGAAACCCTCTCTCAGACCCCAGAGTTTCCCCGCGTGCACTTATCGTCAATGGGGCCTTCCAATCAGCTAGAACTTCAGCGCACAATTTGTTTTACTGCATTGTAATATTGTTGGCTGCAATCCTATATCCACTTGCTTGGGAGTTAGCACCACTGAATTCAATGGGAGAGATTTCTCAGAAGATATGCATAGGATTGTACTGAGGCTATGATAAAGGCAGGATTTCCAATTACATCCTTCCCCCCCCCCCCCTTAAAGCAAATATGCATTGATTTGGATGTCTCTACCCAGAAGCGAAAGAGCTCGGGCAATGCCACTGAGACCCACAAGGGGAGAAGGGGATGCACCTGTCCCTGGGTTCTTTTTCTAAAATAAATCTCTGGCAACAAATATTTTGGAGATTGACAAGTACACATATATTTATCTCATAGAAAGCAAAATATATGCATATTGTATATATAAGTATATGCATAGTACATACTATTGCAATGAGATGTGTATGTGTGTGAGAGAAAGAAAGAGTGAGTGTATATATACAATACCATATATATTATATATGCCGCCGATATATAATATATGTTGTTTTTATATATACCTTCCTATTCACGGCATGCAGCTGTTTGGCAGTCAGGAAAATGCCTGTCCAGAGTCCACACATCAAACATTTCTATTTTTATAAAATTTGGCATTCTTCGAGTGGAGCAGCGCTGACTACCTCAAGAGGGATTGGCAGGGTTCAAGATCTGTCCTTGCCACATGTGAAGTCCATGCAAGAAGGGGAACTCCCGATTCAAGCCTGGGCGGTGGGAGGCCTGCCTAGCCTCCAAGCCCCTTTCCTAGATCTCCTAAGCTAAGGATGCTGCTACCCTCACCCTTTTTTTAACCACGCTCATCTGTGTTACCTATGTCAGTGACAGTGTCCCTGCTGTGGGACAGCTGCAGCTCCTCATTCTCAGACTCTGAGTCCTGACGGGATAACTTGGTGCTCTTTAGGCTGCCGGCCCGGCGAATGCTCGACAGGGAACCCCCTCTCTTCACCCGGAAACTGCGGGTTCCTTTAATCTGCAGCAAGCGGGAACCTCCTATCCTGATCTTCCTGCTGGGAACTGTATTAAAAGAATAAAAGAGGACTTTTTCCCCTTATTTCCCCCCCCATTTTAAAGTATAATGACGTATATTTTGTATAAAGTTATATTTTTTCCGCCCTCCCCCCCTCCTCCTCCGTCTGCATTTCAATGCTTTTTTTTTTCCAAGGAAGACCAGCAAGAGGCTCCCTCCAACGCAACACCAAATCATCCCCATATGGGATGCTTTAGTAAAAGGCAAGACAAATCTATTACTCAGATTGTATTCGATCTCAATCCAGCCGTTAGTGTAATTCAAATACTTTACAATCAGCATTATTGGAAACCCCACAGCTAAACCCACAGATCTATATTTAGTGCCAAACGATTTGCACTCATTCACATAGAACAGTTTATATTTCCATGTTGGCTAGTAAGACTTCTGCCGTCCCATTGACACGCGTCACTGGCTATCGATGACTGAACTGCAAGTTGCATCAAGCCTTGGAACAGGGCTGTTCTCCAGCTGGCCCAAGGCTGGCCATGTTTTGCGACAGAATTATAACTTTCAATCGTGTAGCAATTATAGAAGGTGGCCTGCTTGCTTAAACTAGGCAGGTCATTAGCTTATCCACTCTGAATGTTACCTTTGTATAAACCGACGTCTTTGCACATTAAACTTCACCAGAATTCTACAGAAAGAGCAACAACATGTGGTCCCACTCTTCAGATAGTTCAGAGGTTTTCAGGCATTAAAGACATCTGTGTATGTGTTGAGTGTGTGCGTGTGTGTTTGTTTGTTTGCGTGTGTGTAATGAGCACGAATACATGGAATGATTTGAAGCACCAGTCACTGGCATGTTGTTCTCCACTCAGCTCTAAGGCAAGTACATGGGCAATATGCACGTCCAAATGTTGCAACACTCAGCTGTACATCTATTTAAAAGTGAACACACAGCACAAGTCACAATACAAATAAATGATAGTTGTCTCTTGGGGCCAGAAGAAAGGGCAATGATGAAATAGGAAATATCTAAACTTGTTAAGATCTAGGTTTTTAAACAGCTGGGGAGGGAATCCTGATTTTTATACATTTGCACCCTGCCATGATGAATGCACAATTTTTCTTTGCAAGCGATCACTTTTAGCATATGATTGATCAGAAATTTTATTTGTATTTGCTTGGATTTGTAGTTTTATGGACTAGCCTGAAAGTGGCACATTGTGTAACAAACTCTCCGAGAAATATCATATTATTCCTCTGGCAAGATCAATGAATGATTTTGCACAGTGTCTTAAAGGATAAGAGATAAATTGTGGGAAAAGTTTCTGGGGACTAGAGTATTGGACGCATGAATTAAGAATAACTTTTTTTTAAAAAACTACTTGGTATTTAAAAACTTACACCTCAATGCACCTTGTAATTTTTAATGTCCTACAAGCATGTTGTTGCTGTTGTTGTTCCTATAATTAAATTATAACCAAAATGCAGGCAAAGGATTCCTGTAACAGAAAACTACTTCTAAAATACATATTACAGTATTAGAATCTGTTATAGAAGCCAGAAGAAGAGGAATGGGAAAATGGAATAGAGGAAGAATGAAAAGGAAGAAAGGAGAATAATTTATTATGTAAAACAGCAACCGTATCATTTAGATCGTATTCCATAGAAGTTTCACTGAAGTGTACAAATATTTTGAATAGGAACAAAAGAGTTTATAGATTTCTTTTTCATCCATTCTAAAAATTCTTTAAAATACATTGTTGTTGTTGTTTTTCCTGACCCCCCTCCTGAAAAGAGAGAGAATGAAAACCTTGTTTTAAACAATGCCAAACACAACAGTAATTCCATTGGCACATTTCCAGTGACATAATTATTGAATTGTTTTCTTTATATAGTGGTTCTTTTTATATATATTTGCGTGACCCGTCAAATGCGCGCCCGACAAAAGCGCGCTGACAAAAGCGCGGCGAGAAAACTGTGAGGTCGAAAGCGCTCCTACAAAAGAGCGCCGACAAAACCGCACCCACAAAAGCGCGATTAGAGTTAAGGTAAGAGTTAGGGTTAGGGTTATTACGTTGTGATTACATTGTTTTCGCGTTGTTTCTTGATGGCACGCTTTCATCGGCGTGCATTTGTCGGCGCGCTTCTGTCGGCACGATTTCGACCTCACGGTTTTCTCGCGTGGTTTTGTCGGCACGCTTCTGTCGGGCACGCATTTGTCGGTGAACCATATATTTGTAACCTGCTTTATACTGTTGAGTTTAATTATGTATTGGTCTTTGAACACAAAGAAGATTTCTTCTTGACCTTAATAGTATTTGGGCATTGTTAAGGAACATTCATCGCTTTATTTTAGATGCAGGTGCCATATCAATTATAATTTCCAATAAAGAGGAATTCATTTTTAACCTATTTAAATCTGTCTTCTGAATACAGGATTTTAATTCCATGATCTGTTAAAATTCAAGCTGTACTTAGCTACAATGGTCAATGTATGCAATCAATAACAGACTTTAATTCAGATCAATTGTTTCAGCCTAATGTTAAGTTAATTTTAAAAACTCATTATTAAATATAATGATAAAGAAATAATAGGGGGAATGTTTATTGTTTCCAGATTGATTTTTTAAAGTCTACTTTCCAGTCACATTCCATTGTCTTTCAGACATAGTAGCAATCCAACATTTACAATCTATTCTGGAATAGAAAAATTGCCTATGCCGTATGTATTATAGAATTAACTTTTGAGTAACGTTTTTACAAGGAAAAATGTGTTAACACTTTTTTTCAAAATCATTAACGCTGCCTTTACTGTGATTTTAATATATTTATATTATGTTTTCACTGGCTGATTTATTTTATTGTATTGCATTATTTAAAGTTTAACTATTGTTATTTCTGTTTTTAATGTTGCATGTCTTCTGGGATACTTGTAGTTAATTAGTGCAATAAGCCATAATCAATAATTAAATTGATTAATGAATTAAGCCCAGGTTTGCTTTGATTTCTGGCAGTGCTTTAACTAAGGATATCACCAATATCTATGAAAATGGAACACAGATAAAACATATACAATTCTGTTAACACTTCAAAGAGATCAGGACACATTTTTTTTTCTATAAATTATGAGCCAATTTTACACAACATACTTTTAAACCACTCACGAATGAACAGAATAACATACAGGTAAAACAATAAATTAAAAATGAGATTAATTTATGTGCTACTTAAAAAAAGATTCTTTTGTCACTTTCAATAAGTTTTCTGGGTAGACCATATCTTATTTAAATTTATGCTTGAGAATGGGCAACAAGAGATATATTCATATGGACACAGTTAAAGGGAAGAATTAACATTTGGTGCAGCTTCATCATATCTGTCAGGCATTGCTAATGCACAGGTACAGCTAGTAAAAAAGGCTTGCCATACATATACATCACCAGAGGCCCTTCCCTGGTAGAGAAGTACCAAGTCACGTATTACAAGCAGCCCTTGACTTACAATCATTCTTTAAGCAACTACTTGAAGTTACAATAGCACTGAGTAGTGGTTACAATTAGAATCCCCTTTCTGACTGGTGCTTCTTGCACGCCCTCCCTTAAACTCATCACTTAGCAATGAAAATTCCAGTCCCAATTGATGTTGTAAGTTTAGAACTTCCAAGGTGGCGCAGTGGTTAAATGCAGCACTGCAGGCTGACTGCTAGATCAGCAGTTCAGCGGTTCAAATCCCACCGGCTCAGGGTTGACTCAGCCTTCCATCCTTCCGAGGTGAAGTGAAACGAAGACCCGGATTGTTGTTGGGGGCGATATGCTGACTCTGTAAACC